TAATAAGCAGTTGAGACGATACTGTAAAAGGTGCAAAGAAAAGATAATCTGATGGAAATATGTCCCATATCATGACATATTGCAAGAATAAGGACAGTTTTCATCACAAAATACTCACGACGCTAGACGCTGGTTAGCAGGGGACGATGCTCAAAATAGGTCTTAATTAAAATGAAATAATAAAACCTACCATTCCAGTCCTCTGCAACCCGTACAGAGTTATTTTGAAACTCATTTACCCACCTACCAGCCCCTGAACTGTCCGAATTCAATTTTCCTAACTCAACTAGCCTCACGAGTTTGCCGCACATCGCCATCATTGTCACATAAACGCGTTTACGCGCCATGTTGATGCTCTGAGGCATCAACCGCATAAACGGTTTACGGCGGAGGTCTGACGTCATTGACGAGCTGTGACGTCAGGATCGGGTCGACGCTGATTGGTCCTTCAAAAAATAAACATGTTTACGGTTTATTAAACGGGATAAACCGACGTCGTGAACAGCCCTCTGGCTCCTGCCCTGCCCTGGCTCCTGCCCTGCCCTGGCCCCTGCCAGCTCCTGTCAGCTCCTGTCAGCTCCTTGTCGACCTCTGTCGACCCTGCCCTGCCTTGCCCTGTCCTGGCTCCTGTCAGCTCCTGTCAGCTCCTTGTCGACCTCTGTCAACCTCTGTCAACCCTGTCCTGCCCTGCCCTGCCCTGCCCTGGCTCCTGCCCTGTCCTGTCCTGGCTCCCTCCTGTCAGCTCTTCTGTCAGCTACTGTCACCTCCTGTCAGCACCTGTCAGCTCCTGTATAACTCCACTTCCCTATTCAGGACCTGGTGCTGCTGATATCTGCCTCTGTCCACCTCTGTCCGCCACTGTCGACCTCTGTCCGCCTCTGTAGACCTCTCTCGACCTCTGTCCACCTCTGTCGACCTCTGTCGACCCCTGTGGACACATGTCGACCCCTGTCGACCTCTGTCGACCCTGCCCTGCCCTGCCCTGGCTCCTGTCAGCTCCTTGTCAACCTCTGTCGACCTCTGTCGACCTCTGTCAACCTCTGTCGACCTCTTCTTCTGTCGACCTCTTTTATCGACCTCTGTCGACCTCTGTCGACCCTGCCCTGCCCTGCCTTGGCTCCTGCCCTGCCATGCCCTGGCTCCTGCCCTGCCCTGCCCTGGCTCCTGTCAGCTCCTGTCAGCTCCTTGTCAACCTCTGTCGACCTCTGTCGACAGGGGCGATGCCAGGTACCAGCAACAGTGGGGAATGGAATGACTGACCGAGGTGACTCGAGGTACCGTAAACAGTGGGGCAGGGGCGACTCTGTCCGACCTGACCAAAGTCTGTCCGACCTGGCAGAGGTATGTGGGACCTCACAAAGGTATGTGTGACCTGACAGAGGTATGTGGGACCTGACAGAGGTATGTAAGACCTGTCAGAGGTCTATAGGAGCTGACAGAGATATGTGGAACCTGACAGACGTCTGACAAACCTGGCCGAGGTCTGTCAGAGACCTCACTGAAGTCATCTGACCTCAGACCAGTGCTGGAAATGAGGCCGCTTTCTGGTCCCGGCGTTTTATTCTCCTCGCGGGTTAATCCCGTCCAGCGTTTAGCCTTTCGGGACCCACTCAGGGTCGCGGTTGTTTTCGCCGCTCGCTCCAGTCGAGTTGCAAAGTTAAAAGTCACACGAAGCTTATTTAGGGCCAGCCAAACCAGTCTAGTCTGGAGTTACTGTTAAATGTATGCATATAGATGAAAGAAAAAGGTTTTGTAGAATCGATTAATTTCGAAGTCGTATATTCAGAGGCCCCAAATAAACTTCGTGCGACTATCAACTTTGCATCTCGAATGGGCCGGGCGGCAAAAACAACCGCGGCTCTGAGAGGGTCCCGAAAGGCTAAGCGCTAGACGGGGCTAACTCACCCGGAGAATAAAACGCCGGGACCAGAAAGCGGCCTCATTTCCAGCACTGCCTCAGACAGGTCTAACAGACCTCTGTCATGTCCCACATACCTCTGTCAGGTCTCGCAAACGTCTGGCAGGTCGGGCAGACCTTGGTCAGGTCTGACAGGCCTCATTCAGGTCTGAGAGACCTCAGTCAGGTGTCTGACAGACCTCGGCCAGGGTTGTCAGACGTCTGTGAGACAGAGAGACCTCGGTCAGATCTGAAAGACCTCAGTCAGGTCTCTGACTGACCTCGGCCAGGGTTGTCAGACGTCTGTCAGGTTCCACATATCTCTGTCAGCTCCTACAGACCTCTGTCAGGTCTCACATACCTCTGTCAGGTCTGGCAGACCTCGGTCAGGTCGGCGAGACCTCGGTCAGGTCTGAGAGACCTCGGTCAGATCTGAAAGACCTCAGTCAGGTCTCTGACAAACCTCGGCCAGGGTTGTCAGACGTCTGTCAGGTTCCATATATCTCTGTCAGCTCCTACAGACCTCTGTCAGGTCTCACATACCTCTGTCAGGTCTGGCAGACCTCTGTAAGGTCTGAAAGACCTCTGTAAGGTCGGAAAGACCTCGGTCAGGTCTGAGAGACCTCGGTCAGATCTGAAACACCTCAGTCAGGTCTTTGACAGACCTCGGCCAGGGTTGTCAGACGTCTGTCAGGTTCCACATATCTCTGTCAGCTCTAACAGACCTCTGTCAGGTCTCACATACCTCGGTCAGGTCGGAGAGACCTCGGTCAGGTCTGAGAGACCTCGGTCAGATCTGAAAGACCTCAATCAGGTCTGACAGATCTCGGCCAGGGTTGTCAGACGTCCGTCAGGTTCCATATATCTCTGTCAGCTCCTACAGACCTCTGACAGGTCTTACATACCTCTGTCAGGTCCCACATACCTCTGTCAGGTCTGGCATACCTCGGTCAGGTCGGAGAGACGTCGGTCAGGTCTGAAAGACCTCAGTCAGGTCTTTGACAGACCTCGGCCAGGGTTGTCAGATGTCTGTCAGGTTCCACATATCTCTGTCAGCTCCTACAGACCTCTGTCAGGTCTCACATACCTCTGTCAGGTCTGGCAGACCTCGGTCAGGTCGGCGAGACCTCGGTCAGATCTGTAAGACCTCGGTCAGATCTGAAAGACCTCAGTCAGGTCTCTGACAGACTTCGGTCAGGCTCGACAGATCTTTGTCAGGTCCGACAAACTCAACAAGGCATCCTCGGACCGATCAGCAGGGAGCGCCGGGCTGCACCGGCCGAACTGCTGCCGCATGACGGGCCCGTGAGTCATGACCGCCGGGATGACGGTGCGCCCCGCGTCACCAGTCACCCCACCCCTACCGTCCCCTGTGTGTCTGTATCTGACACCCACGCACCCCCTACATTCCTCTGTCTGCCTGTACCTGACACCCCCTCCCCGTCTGCCCCACAGCGGCGCACCGCCAGTTCGAGGCCAAGCGCAAGTCGCACTACAACGAGTTCTACGCGGTGAAGCTGGCCCGACAGCTGATGGAGAAGGAAGAGGAGTTGCTGGAGGCCAAGTCGGAGGAGGGCGCCGGCCCGTCCTCGGCTGCCGGGCCGTCCTCATCGTCTGCCGAGCCGGCCCCGGCCCCTGACTCGGCTCCGTCGACCAGCTCGTAGACGGACGGCCCGCCGAGACCGGCCCGGCGCCGGAGCCCGTCTGTGTATTGGTTTGGCAGGCGCACTGTGTGTCCGGCCCGGTGCAGCCATTTGTGAAACGGTTTAGCCAGAACGCTGCTGCTCCTGCTAACGGTGTGACGCGGTGGATGTCACGTCAACACCACCGTCACGTCACTGCAACCGTCAGTCACGTCACGTCTTGTCGCCGGATCGACAGCCGCCGTGACGGGACCGGGAGGGCAGCCCAGCTGTGTGCCGCAGAGGCTGACGGAGGACTCCTCTAGGACAAAGGAACAAAGGTGGTGGCTCATCCCACCATGGTGGTGCCCCGGCGGCTGGCGCGCGCGGAGGCCACTCGTGGTCGCCAAGAAGCGTCATGCCGGTCCGACCAGCTCTCGGTGGACACATCCGTTAGCGCCGCGTCAGGCGGGCAGTGCGGCCGGCGGTCGCGCTGGGGAAGGCGGCGTGCCCTATCGACCCGGCGACGCAGTGATGGAGGCCGCCGGCGGACTCAGACGGCCGCGGGACACGTATGTGATGCCTCGCTGACCGAGAGCCGGCCGGCCACCCGCTCCGGCGCGGAGCCGAGGCTTTATTTACCGCTGGGGACGGACATGCGCGTACCGCTGGGGGCCCGTGCTGATTCCGCCGACAGCGTTGTCCTATGATGCTGCAGTGCAGCGCGTACTCTGTAGAGTGTAGGGACGTAAGAGGCATCAAATTACGGCGCGGAAGTGCGCCAGCTCGGAAAGTCGCCGGCCGTAACCGGCCTTCTGATACAAACTCGGTACCTACTTCCAGGCCGCCGGCTCGAGGGACCGGCCCAGTGCCGTCGCCAGGCTCATCAGTGGAATAGCGCGCTAGGATGGATGTTATGAATGTAAAGTCAACGTCTCCGCGCGGGCCTGCGTTAGACCATCGATAATGTCCTGTTCGCTCCTCGTGCATGTCTGTGTTTGTTTGGGTGCGTGTGCAGTGCAGATTGTGTGGGTGGGCGTATCACAGATAGCGTCTGATTGTCGCCGGTGTAGCAAGGATTGACCTTCCGAATAATCCTCGCTGATTGTCGTTGGAATAAACGTCGAATGCTGGTGTCACACGCCGCGCGCTCTTTTGTCCCCTTCCATCGACCCTGCGGCGCCACCACCCACTCCGCCGTTGGAGGACATCAGCTCCTGAATAGGGAGGGGGAGTTACAGACATCAGCAGCACCAGCTTCTCACTCTTTCGTTCTAATACTCGTTCTAATACTCCCAACACCCGTTGTTGTCCAGGAGTTGAGTTGGAATGGGGGGGGGGGGTGTTCACTGTTCAGTAGCCCTCCCCCTAGCAGGCGTGGGAATCGTGTGGAGCCCCAGTGTAGAGTGGGATAGCCTTTTCCGCTGGATTGTGATCAGGCTTTGCGTCGAATAACACTGATCCATTGAAAGATGTTCCGATTTACTTGCCCAGGCACATTTTTATTCAGAAAGAAAACATACATATGGTTTGCTGATGGATAATAGATTATGGCAGCAGGTAACACCCAGACGGTGTGCCATCTGCTGCAGGGCCAGCAGTGTGGTGCGTCCCGAATGTGGTCGCCAAAGACGCAGCTCGCCGCCCAGACAGCCGGAGACCAGCACACCGGCCGAACCGCCGAACGACAGGCACGAAACCGACTCCTCGTAGCCATGCAGCGTGCTGCCGGCGAGAGGTCACGGGAAGGTCAGCTTATAATGTACACACAGACAAGACAGAGCACACAGAGCAGAGCTAACAGAGCAGAGCAGTGTACAGCAGAGCTGACAGAGCAGAGCAGAGCAAGGCGGGGCAGAGCAGAGCGAGCAGAGCAGAGCTGACTTAGAGAGCTGACAGGAGCTGACAGGAGGACAGGGCAGGGCAGGGCAGAGGCGGCTTCAGGTACCGTAAACAGTGCGGCAGGGGCGACTCCAGGTACCGTTAACAGTGGGGCAGGGGTAGTCAACAGTTAACATGGGGCAGTCAACTGTTAACAGGGGCAGTTAACATGGGGCAGTCAGACTGAGGTCGGAGAGACCTCGGTCAGGTCTGAAAGACCTCAGTCAGGTCTTTGGCAGACCTCGGCCAGGGTTGTCAGACGTCTGTCAGGTTCCACATATCTCTGTCAGCTCCTACAGACCTCTGTCAGGTCTCACATACCTCTGTCAGGTCTGGCAGACCTCGGTCAGGTCGGAGAAACCTCGGTCAGGTCTGAGAGACTTCAGTCAGGTCTTTGACAGACCTCGGCCAGGGTTGTCAGACGTCTGTCAGGTTCCATATATCTCTGTCAGCTCCTACAGACAGGGAGGGTCCACATAGGAGGGCTGTCAGAAGTCTGTCAGGTTCCACATATCTCTGTCAGCTCCTACAGACCTCTCACAGGTCTTACATACCTCTGTCAGGTCTGGCAGACCTCAGTCAGGTCTAAGAGACCTCAATCAGGTCTCTGACAGACCTCGGCCAGGGTTGTCAGAGGTCTGTGAGGTTCCGCATATCTCTGTCAGCTCCTACAGACCTCTGACAGGTCTTACATACCTCAGTCAGGTCCCACATACCTCTGTCAGGTCCCACATACCTTTCTCAGGTCCCACAGACGTCTGTCAGGTCTGCCAGACCTCAATCAGGTCTCTGACAGATCTCGGCCAGGGTTGTCAGACGTCTGTCAGGTTCCATATATCTCTGTCAGCTCCTACAGACCTCTGTCAGGTCTCACATACCTCTGTCAGGTCTGACAGACCTCGGTCAGGTCGGAGAGACCTCGGTCAGGTCTAAGAGACCTCGGTCAGGTCTAAGAGACCTCGGTCAGGTCTAAGAGACCTCGGTCAGGTCTAAGAGACCTCGGTCAGGTCTGAGAGACCTCGGTCAGGTCTGAGAGACCTCGGTCAGATCTGAAAGATCTCAGTCAGGTCTCTGACAGACTACGGCCAGGGTTGTCAGATGTCTGTCAGGTTCCATATACAGGGTGTCTCATAAGTTCGTTCTCACATTATATTTGCATGTGAAACAGAGTACATTGCGTCTTGATATATTTGTGACCCCTCAATGTGCTCCCCATTTAATAGGCAAACACATGAACACATGCTGCGGCACGCCAACCGGCATGTTTGGCTGCATAGCAGGCTTAAAGTTAATCCAGACTGACATGACATGCGTCGTGAGCTCCTCGAGGCTGGAACAGCGCTACGCTTCGACGAGCCTAATTTTCAGCATAACCAACAAATTTTTATGAAATTTTGATCCGATGAGGTGCCTGACATGTGGTCTTGCCACAAACGCCTGTCACAGTCTCCTTGCACCGCTTTTAAGCTTTGCTTGACCTGTGCACTGATGCACTGTCTTGCCTGAAGATGGGCCTACGACCTCTCGGATGCCATTTTCTCCTCTATAAATGTGTTCATACTCGCGTTTCGAGTTAAGCTTGAGGGTTGAAACTCCTACTAGATGTTCTTGGAAAAGCATTATGCTTCCCAAAGCTGTTTCTGGGACACCATTCGCAACCTGGTCAGCGTCTGGACGCCTATAACCCCACAATACCGTGACCTTGGCCTTTCGCATAGGAACATAACGGAACGAAACGGAGGCCTCCTCCTTCGCCCTTATGGGGTTGTTTTCGGGTTTGGACGGGTGTTTCATCTCGAACGTGGACTAGTTAGTCCAGATGACCTGGTTGATGTCCTCAGCCCTTTAGTTTTTTTAGCCTCAGGCATAACGAAACTCATGTTTGGCCATTTTAAGACGTTTTTGACTGTTTTGAGCCCTCCGGTAAGCAAAGCTTAAGTCACCTTGAGTTATGTACCCCGAAAGAACACTCTTAGACAGCTGGTAATCCATCCTGAAAAGTCTGTTTACCAACTTTCTAACCCTTTGACCTTTTTGATGGCCACTTTGGCGCCACACAGTTTTGGCCACATGGCTCACTCCTGAGTGCTGACAAAAAAGAGGATAAACTTGCAATGATTGACTCCCGACAAATCATCGGTGTCACTTGCTGACTGTGCGTCCAGTTAGCGATGGACATTGTCTACAGACTGGTAGGCCTCAATCACCCTCAATCGTCGCGAATGGTCACGTGCTGACTAAATACCGAGACGTACCCGTATTGGAGACCTCTATGTTGCGGCGTTAGCCGTCTGTGTAGGAAACGGGCTCTCTAGCAAAAACTATTTTGTCTACAGAAATTAGTTACTGTGGAGCATATTTCTACCAGCCATGGCAACCACACAAGCCCAGTAACGAACCAATTTCAGCGTGCCTTTAAGCAAGAGAGCCTAAAAACGTAAAATTTAGGTGAGAACGAACTTATGGGACACCCTGTACCTGTCAGCTCCTACAGACCTCAGATATATCTTACATACCTCTGTCAGGTCTGACATACCTCTGTCAGGTCTGACAGACCTCAGTCAGGTCTGAGAGACCTCAGTCAGGTCTCTGACAGACCTCGGCCAGGTTTGTCAGGCGTCTGTCAGGTTCCATATATCTCTGTCCGCTCCTACAGACAGGGAGGGTCCACATAGGAGGGTTGTCAGACGTCTGTCAGGTTCCACATATCTCTGTCAGCTCCTACAGACCTCTGTCAGGTCTCACATGCCTCTGTCACGTCTGACAGACCTCGGTCTGGTCTGACAGTCCTCGGTCAGGTCGGAGAGACCTCGGGTCAGGTCTGACAGACCTCAATCAGGTCTGACATACCTCAATCAGGTCTGACAGACCTCAATCAGGTCTCTGACAGATCTCGGCCAGGGTTGTCAGACGTCTGTCAGGTTCCATATATCTCTGTCAGCTCCTACAGACCTCAGCTAGATCTTACATACCTCTGTGAGGTCTCACATACCTCTGTCAGGTCTGACAGACCTCGGTCAGGTCTGGCAGACCTCGGTCATGTCGGAGAGACCTCGGTCAGGTCTGAGAGACTTCAGTCAGGTCTTTGACAGACCTCGTCCAGGGTTGTCAGACGTCTGTCAGGTTCCATTTATCTCTGTCGGCTCCTACAGACCTCTGACAGGTCTTACATACCTCTGTCAGGTCTGACAGACCTCGGTCAGGTCGGAGAGACCTCGGTCAGGTCGGAGAGACCTCGGTCAGGTCTCAGAGACCTCGGTCAGGTCTGAGAGACTTCAGTCAGGTCTTTGACAGACCTCGGCCAGGGTTGTCAGACGTCTGTCAGGTTCCATTTATCTCTGTCAGCTCCTACAGACCTCTGACAGGTCTTACATACCTGTCAGGTCTGACAGACCTCGGTCAGGTCGGAGAGACCTCGGTCAGGTCGGAGAGACCTCGGTCAGGTCTGAGAGACCTCGGTCAGGTCTGAGAGATCTCAGTCAGGTCTCTGACAGACTACGGTCAGGGTTGTCAGATGTCTGTCAGGTTCCATATATATCTGTCAGCTCCTACAGACCTCAGATAGGTCTTACATACCTCTGTCAGGTCTGACAGACCTCAGTCAGGTCTGAAAGACCTCAGTCAGGTCTGAAAGACCTCAGTCAGGTCTGAAAGACCTCAGTCAGGTCTCTGACAGACCTCGGCCAGGTTTGTCAGCCGTCTGTCAGGTTCCATATATCTCTGTCAGCTCCTACAGACAGGGAGGGTCCACATAGGAGGGTTGTCAGACGTCTGTCAGGTTCCACATATCTCTGTCAGCTCCTACAGACCTCTGTCAGGTCTCACATGCCTCTGTCACGTCTGACAGACCTCGGTCTGGTCTGACAGTCCTCGGTCAGGTCGGAGAGACCTCGGTCAGGTCTGACAGACCTCAATCAGGTCTCTGACAGATCTCGGCCAGGGTTGTCAGACGTCTGTCAGGTTCCATATATCTCTGTCAGCTCCTACAGACCTCTGTCAGGTCTCAAATACCTCTGTCAGGTCTGACAGACCTCGGTCAGGTCGGAGAGACCTCGGTCAGGTCTGAGAGACCTAGGTCAGGTCTGAGAGACTTCGGTCAGGTCTGAGAGACCTCGGTCAGGTCTGAGAGACCTCGGTCAGATCTAAAAGATCTCAGTCAAGTCTCTGACAGACTACGGCCAGGGTTGTCAGATGTCTGTCAGGTTCCATATATCTCTGTCAGCTCCTACAGACCTCAGATACGTCTTACATACCTCTGTCAGGTCTGACATACCTCAGTCAGGTCTGAGAGACCTCAGTCAGGTCTCTGACAGACCTCGGCCAGGTTTGTCAGGCGTCTGTCAGGTTCCATATATCTCTGTCAGCTCCTACAGACAGGGAGGGTCCACATAGGAGGGTTGTCAGACGTCTGTCAGGTTCCACATATCTCTGTCAGCTCCTACAGACCTCTCACAGGTCTTACATACCTCTGTCAGGTGCCACATAGCTCTGTCGGGTCCCACATACCTCTGTCAGGTCCCACATACCTCTGTCAGGTCCCGCAAACGTCTGGCAGGTGGGACAGACCTTGGTGGTCAGGTCTGACAGATCTCAGTCAGGTCTGAAAGACCTCAGTCAGGTGCCTGACAGACCTCGGGAAGGGTTGTCAGACGTCTGTCAGGTTCCACATATCTATGTAAGCTCCCACATACCTCTGTCAGGTCACACATACCTTTGTTAGGTCCCACATACCTCTGCCAGGTCGGACAGACTTCGGTCAGGTCGGACAGAAGAGTCGCCCCTGCCCCACTGTTTACGGTATCTCAAGTCACCTCGGTCAGTCATTCCATTCCCCACTGTTGATGGTACCTGGCATCGCCCCTGTCGACAGAGGTCGACAGAGGTCGACAGAGGTTGACAAGGAGCTGACAGGAGCTGACAGGAGCCAGGGCAGGGCAGGGCAGGGTAAGAGCCAGGGCAGGGCAGGAGCCAAGGCAGGGCAGGAGCCAAGGCAGGGCAGGGCAGGGCAGGGTCGACAGAGGTCGACAGAGGTCGACAAAAGAGGTCGACAGAGGTCGACAAAAGAGGTCGACAGAAGAGGTCGTAAGACGAGGTCGACAGAGGTTGGCAGAGGTCGACAGAGGTCGACGGAGGTTGACAAGGAGCTGACAGGAGCTGACAGGAGCCAGGGCAGGGCAGGGTCGACATGTGTCCACAGGGGTCGACAGAGGTCGACAGAGGTCGACAGAGGTCAAGAGAGGTCTACAGAGGCGGACAGAGGTCGACAGTGGCGGACAGAGGCGGACAGAGGCAGATATCAGCAGCACCAGCTCCTGAATAGGGAAGGGGAGTTATACAGGAGCTGACAGGAGAGCTGACAGGAGCTGACAGGAGAGCTGACAGGAGCTGACAGGAGCCAGGACAGGGCAGGGCAGGAGCCAGGGCAGGGCAGGGCAGGGCAGGGCAGGACAGGGTTGACAGAGGTTGACAGAGGTCGACAAGGAGCTGACAGGAGCTGACAGGAGCCAGGACAGGGCAAGGCAGGGCAGGGTCGACAGAGGTCGACAGAGGTCGACAAGGAGCTGACAGGAGCTGACAGGAGCTGGCAGGAGCCAGGGCAGGGTAGGAGCCAAGCCAGGGCAGGAGCCAGGCCAGGGCAGGAGCCAGGGCAGGGCAGGAGCCAGGGCAGGGCAGGAGCCAGGGCAGGGCAGGGTCGACAGAGGTCAACAGAGGTCGACAAAAGAGGTTGACAGAAGAGGTTGTAAGAAAAGGTCGACAGAGGTTGACAGAGGTCGACAGAGGTCAACAAGGAGCTGACAGGAGCCAGGGCAGGGCAGGAGCCAGGGCAGGGCAGGGCAGGGCATGGCATTGCAGGGTCGACAGAGGTCAACAAGGAGCTGACAGGAGCTGACACAAGCCAGGGCAGGGCAGGGCAGGGCAGGGTCAACAAAGTTCGACAGAAGAGGTCGACAGAGGTCAGAAAGGGTCGACAAGGGATGACAGAGGTGGACATGGTCAACAGGGGTCAACAGGGGTCGACAGAGGCCGACAGAGGCGGACAGAGGCCGACAGTGGCGGACAGAGGCAGACATCAGCAGCACCAGCTCCTGAATAGGGAGGGGGAGTTATAGACATCAGCAGCACCAGCTTCTCACTGGGGAAGGGGGAGTTACAGAAACACCAGCAGCTCCAGCTGAGTCTCCAGCACCACCTGCTACGGCTGGGGATCGATGCACTAGTTCCTCACTGAACAGTGGACACATAACGGGAGGGAAGAATGTTGAGCACACTCAGACGGATCGGATCAGCTGTTGCGGCTCATTTTAAGCAGCGGGCATATGGAACAAGATTGCTCAAATGCTTCAGCAGCCCTAGGCTCTGCATACCAGCAGAGTGGGCGGCTGGCATCACCTGGGAATGACGCAGACAGAGCAGCTCTACATCTATGCTGCATATGTCCGAGCTGCCCCCGATTCTAATTGACATTGGCCAGGCCCAGTTAGCTTTGACTAAGTTCATCTCCATTTATACTGCAGCAGATACCAAAAAGCAGAGGTAGGTGTTAAGTTTCAGTAGGCATTATATTGGGATAATTAGGACTTCATATTGCATTGCACAGGTAGGTATGTACCTACATGATAAAGTAGATTTTTTGAAGAGGGTGTTATGAGGGCTTTAGTATTGATTAGGCAAGGCTTAATATGTTTCTTTGAAAAAAATATGCAAAGGACCACCCTAGCGTATCAACAGAGCATGCAATCTAATACATAGACCTCACCAAAGTATATAAAAACACTTAAAACACAATTTAATACACTATAACACGCTATATTTTTGCCTAATGGTCTTTTGTTTACGCGCCGAGATCGAATCAAACGCGTCAGTCAAGATTGGTCAAGATGCCTGGCGGCCATGTTTGAATTAAAACTTGTATTTATTTTTATTCACATATCTATATTTGAGTCGTGCCGCGCTTAGATTTTATTTTTGCTGAGTATCAAAAGCAAAATTGTAAAACCAAAATTATTCTCACGAAATTTGAGATAGTCCCTCAACTGAAAAATGCTAACGACCTTGTATTTCAAGTCTACGAAAAACTGCTGTTGGGGCGTGCCGCGCTTAAATTTAATATAAGTTATGCTAAAAATTAAAATTCAAAAGGTCAAAATGATTTTTGAAGCAATCTAAATAGTCCGCAGTACATGACCCATGTAACTTTGACCTGAGGTCGCTCTGCAAATTGACCGTGCCGCGCTTAGATTTTACCCTCATTAAATTGGGAAGGTCAAATTGTATAGTCAAAATCATTTTTGAGTCATTCTGAGTAGTCCGCAGACCATTTATTTCGAATATGAATCTGAATCCGAATATGTTGCCAAATAGATGAACATATGTGGAATAGCGTTCGTATGGCCCAGTGTATAACTACATTGTAATTCTGTTCTTGATTCTGATAGCAGTCGCCTCATCGATGTGGTGTTGACCAAACAACAATGTCCATGTGTAGTTAATGTCTAATGTTGGTAGGTACGTAGTGTACTGATGAAAATGTATAAGCTTTTTTTTTTTTTTTATAAATTTAGTCCGAATGGCTGAATGGGCGGATTTGAGGAATCAGAGCCCGCACTAAGCATAGCTTGTTGTGCTGACCCTGACCCCACCACCCGATCGCGCAATTCCAGTTGTATGGCAGAATTTTGTCCGAACGTTTAACGTGCCCTCACGACTGGACACGGTCCCCTCCGCTCACTCACGTTACCTGGCTTCTGTGCGGCCCCTGCCACAGACACGCACGCCATTACACGTAGGAGCTAAATGTGGCCGCCCGCACCGGGGCTTTAAGCTTTTAGCTTGCAGAGTAAAACAATAAAAATAATTCACGGTGCAGTTTTTTATTTTGTGGATGAAATGCATGGACTTCAAAAGGATCTTCAAATGGTAATCCAGCTGCCCAGTAAAAAATACCATTATAAATTTCCAAATGGTTCCAAATCAGTTGGTGACATACCAGGGAAATAAGCTAAAATTAGAGCGCTCTATTTATTGCTCCTGCCCCATGTTGAAGAGATACCCCTAAAAGCGTGATCTTTTATCGGCCCTTACGCAGCAAGGCAGTACTTCTCAGACCGGTGGATGGTATCAATAGAAAGAGAATGCGTCAAAGATTAACATGAATTAATTAAAATAACATTAAAATGTTAATTAAGCGTGGAAATTAGTCCCAAACATAAGCTAATTATTGCTCCTACCTCGGCGACGGCGCTCCCCGCAGTCAGCGGAGAAGCTAAAATAAGAGCCACCATCCTCCTCCGTAAGTCATTTTAGAGCGGCCGAGTGGGCCGATGCGGGGCCACCACACTGAGATAAGACGTGGCTAGCAATTTCAAACCGCCATAGAAATCAATATCTTAAGACGTACAATATGGGATGATTACTCTGAAGCTGGAGTTCGCCATCGGACCGCAATGCATGTTGCTAGGCTGCTGCAATTACAACGAACATACGAATACTGCCTTCATTTGTAGACGTTTGTTTTAAGGCGGTCTTTGACGTCAAGGGGGCATACCTGTCGACAAATTGAGTTTCTCCGAATTTCAAAAACTCCAGAATTTCAATTCCTTATGCACTGTTGTAGGTACAGCTATGTTCACAAGTTTTCGTTTCCTCCTGTTCTAAAAAGGATGATATTTGTCGATTTCGTGTGTCGCTGATAGGAGGGGGCGTTTAATAATTAGGCCCAATGCTTTCTGCATCCGCGAGTACCTTCAAAAGGGAACAACAGTTTCCATTTATTACACTATGGGACATGTGACAAAATGACCACTGGAACATGCATGAAACGGAGCTCATATTCCTAAAAATGTCTACAATCACTTCTTTTCTGACACTATCAGCAAATACTGTCTCAAGTTAGATGGTTGACAGACAGTCAATGGAGATTTGGGGAGACTGAGTGATGCCAATTCACCACTTAACTGATAATGAGGGCCGAGGGGAGAGAAACATGCAACATGCACAACTGACAACTTGACAAGTGACAAAACACTACCACTATTGCGCAGTGCACAACAAATTACAGCGGCCAGCCCAAAAATGCTTTTGGTGGCTAATTGCAAAACAAGTCACTAATAAATGTCTTAGGTGCAGCTGAACACTGCACAATGATCACACTGTTCACGCATTGAGTGAGATGCCACAGGTGGTTTGAATCACACTTTGGTACAACTGCAAATATGAAGTGGTGTCATGAGGTTCATGCCTCCATGATCACAGCACTTTGGTTGTGGTTGGCATAACACTTGCATTCTGCAGAGTTCCACATGAACTGCAGACACCTCATCTGGTGGTCTTCATGTTGCTCAACTTCTTCAGGAGGCAAACATCGACCACCCAGCGGAAGCATGGTCCTGCAGAAGAAAAGGTAATGGATAAGGTACAAACATCTGCTGAAACAGCCCCTTATGTTGGCTGTTATTTAACTTTTATATTACATTTGTTTAAGTAAGATACTGCCGGCTATTCCAAAACCAGAAAATGAAATTATATTGTGGCATAATTCACATACTCAGCTATCAGCATCAAATAATAAATCTATTTAAAATGTGGCATATTCTATAAAACACATTCATAGAATATTCTACTTCACGTCACAAGGACTCACAATCTTTTTGCTGTTGGGTGTTTGATTGACGCATTAACTTAAGGTTGTCTTAGGTTTTATTATTGCAAAAAAAATCATATTGCATTTATTGTATCAAAATACTGCCAGCAATAACAAAACAAGAACATGAAATGTCAATGAGCAAGCCGCCTTTCCTAAAAATGGGTTGCTTTGAGAAAAAAAAAGTTTCTTTTCAGGAAAAAGAGAAATGATTATCAGGTAATTATCAGAAAACCACCCAGCAAGTGGCTGGGTGGTTTCACAGCAAACATCAAGCCAAAATATATGCTTG